AATCTGCATTACATGGGGTCACCATGAACTGGAATCAACTCGACGGCAACAGGTTTGGTTTTTTGGTTATCAGTGTCTCAACTGATTTACATACATAGCTTCACGTGTTTTGAAAACTTCTGCCAGGTGGGAGGTGTTATTCACATATTACAGAGGAGGAATTTGAGGTTCAGAGAATGTTAAAGTTGCCTCTCTCAATGCCAGAGCCTTGAGTAACTTCAAATATAGAACTCCAAAGGTGAGCAACAGCACAGTTCTACTCTGACATACATGAGGTCACCATGAGCTGGAATCCACTCAAAGGTAAATGGTTTATTCTGTATATACCCTGTACTCTATTGTGATCTCCCTGTACTTGAAGACATTTGAATTTTTCCACCACTGAGTCTCTGAGACTACTATTTCCACTTCCTCAGATGCCTTCCATCATCAACCCCATCTTGCAAAACCTAATACACATATAGTGTTGCTTAAAGTCCATGACATGTTCTGTGACATTGATATTATATGATTTGGACACTGTGTGAACACCTGGGTCCACGAGGCTGGGGTCTGCTGTGGGGCACACTGCTGGGGCAGCGTCTATAATGGACACCTCAGGTGAGGACTTGGCCTGATCCCGCCCAGCTGCGCAGCCCTGCAGAACCATGAAGGTCACTGAGGGGAGGCTCTGGGCACCATCAAGGGCAGCAGCGGGACAGCAAGTAGCATCCCTGCCACAGTCATCCCATGATGCCTGCTGACCTTAGACACTTGGGAGCAAGACTGGGCACCCACTCCTCCCAACAGCAGGGCTGCCTGTTCCATGGGTGGGAGTAGGGGGTGGCAGGGCAGGCACACTGCCAAGTTGGGATGTGCGAATCCCCAGGAGGGTGCAAAAAAAACCATGGACATATATATGTGATCTTACTTCACCCAGACAGACGTTGTGCAGCACCATGACTGTACAGCCACACAAATGCATGCACTTTAAATGGAATTTTACAAACTGATTTAATCTGGCTGCAGGGTTTACATTAACTTTATCTAAAGAATTTGGTCTTTGTCCTCCATTCCTGACATAATCTCTAAAAAGGAAAAACAAAAAACAAATAAAATGCTTGTAATTTAAGTGTCTTTAAGGACTCCAGACCACACCCAGCTAACAGGAAAAGAAAGGTGATGAGGTGGCTCTGGAATGCGGGCTGGCCAGGCCAGCCAGCTTCATGATCACCTGGTGATAAATCAGCCCACCTCATGGGAGAGGGGCTACAGTTTACATTATGTAATAAGACCATCAGTAAAAGCTCTGGACATGGACTCTCCATGAGCTTCCTGGTTGGTGAAAGAGATCCATGCACATGACAGGGTAGCACTCCCTTTTTTTGGGATATGGAATCTCCACGTTGGAAACCCTCCTAGACCTTGCCCTGTGTATTCGTTTGTATCCTTTTTTCCTACAATAAAGCTGTAATTGTGAGTATAGAGCCTTCTGTGAGTTCTGTAAGTCATCCCATCAAATTTTGGAACCCAAAGGAGTGGTGTGAGCCAGCAAGTCAGAAGTGAGGGGGGACATTCAAGCAGCCAACAGACACATGAGGAAATGCTCGCGTTCACTAGCCATTAGAGAAATGGAAATTAAAACCACAATGAGATACCATCTCACCCCGGCATTACTAGCACAAATCAAAAACACTGGAAATAACAAATGTTGGAGAGGCTGTGGGGAGATTGGAACCCTTATGCACTGCTGGTGGGAATGCATAATGATACAACCATTTTGGAAGATGATATGGCGCTTCCTTCTAAAGCTAGAAATAGAAATACCATATGATTCAGCAATCCCACTCCTAGGAATATATCCTAGAGAAATAAGAGTTGTCACTCGAATAGACAAATGTACACCCATTCACGGCAGCATTGTTCACAGTTGCAAAAACATGGAAACAACCTAGATGCCCATCAACAGATGAATGGATAAACAAACTATGGTACATACACACAATGGAGTATTATGCAACGATAAAGAACAATGAT